TCTCCATTTGTTATTTCTGTCTGTGAAAGATACTGAACAAGGGGCAAAACTTTTCTTTCGATTTTCTCAAAAGAGCATTTTTCGGGATAGCCCCCTTGTGCTTAAAAGCGACCATATGTGACCCTTATTTTGTGTTTGTGGGTGTGCTTCTCTTTACTTGAACTGTTTGCCCCCCCCCCCCCCCCCCCTGGCTCTTTCACTTTTGCTGCACCTGTTTGCTTCTCTTACTCACACAAATAAACAAGTGTACATTTTTGGGGGGGCTGAAAAATGTTTATTTCCTCAAGACCATGCTTTCCTTTGTTTTGCTCTTTGCTGTACAACAGAATACTTCAGTCTGTGGTGGTGTGGTAGCTTATCATTTCACCGCAGTCTGATTTCAGCTTTGGGAAAAGTATTTTATCCAGTATCTCCATCTATCATCTTTTGGGATGTTGTGACCCATACATCACAGGTTGGTCCCGGACGGGCGGGGTGGAATCTGCCTGCCTCCTAAATGACCTAAATTTTGTGGGTGGGTGTTTGAAACAACTATAATCAGATATACTCAGAGCAGAATGAATTGTTTTGGTGTAGAGTGTGAGCTGACTGCCTGCACGTGTCCCTAGTCCCGTCCCCCCCCCCCCCCCCCCCACCCCTGTGGGTGGTTGGCTGGTGCTTTGGTGTGGTTTGCTCCTTCTTTCCTATCAAACATCTGTCGTCCTTGTCTCCCATCCTTCTTTTTTGTGTTTGTTATTCTCTTGTAACACCTCCAATCTTCGGCACTTATATGACCTTATTGTGTTGCAAGTGTCGTAAAACTCTTACTAAAACTAAAACAAAAATTGAGATCTTGACCTGTGCCTATGAACTGTGAGGGAATGGCTTTACCTTTACTCTTTGTCATCACCACAAGCGGGAAAACGGGAGTTTGATTCCCAAATGGGGAGGTTTGTTACCAGGTATCTATCTCCTTCTCTCTGCTTGGACAATGTGTCGTCCCTCTCCTCAGCCTAAGTTGAAGCAGCCCATCTCCTAATTAATGATCTACTCTGTTTGTGTGGATGGGCGATGGAAATATTTCTAAGATGAATTGTTGTGATGTAGAGTGTGACTAGTGGTGTGAGCTGGCCGCCTGTAGATGTCCTTAGTTTTACAAACTCCACTCCCACCCCCTCCACACTAGACACTTGGGCAGTACCAGGCTCTATCGTCACAACTCCCCCATCGAGTTGATCATGTTCATGTCTTTCATCTCACAGCTTGTGTGATAGTGCAGTCAGTCCTGGCGTCGCTGATGTTGTATATAAAATATATTATATATATATAAATGTATATATATTATGTGTTCAATAAATGTTTGAAAAAAGTCCCAAGAGTTTTTATTTATTCCTTGTTATTTTTCGGTCTTTTTGTAGAATGAGAGTGATATAATGCGGATGTTGGAGGGTGCCACTTGCAAGTTGCAGGTCCCACATCTCAGCTTTGTACATGTACATTGTATGTGTGGGCCTGTGTGTCCGAGCTTGCTGATTGAGAGAGGGAAGGGAAAGGCGCCCGGGGGGGGGGGGGGGGGTTGCAGGTGGTTGAAGGGTGTCGCTGATAGATTCTTTTTTTTGTGTGTAGATTCTTTGCTTTTTTCTGCACTAAATGGCCGTTACTTACTTGGATCTAGAACTGGGGTCTTAGGAAGACGGGATGCTCCATACTTCCTCGCCCCTCTTCTCGAGGGTCCATTTCTGTGTGGGCAGGCTGATCGTCTCCATCATCAGCCGTTATCCTGTCAACAATGTGCTACTCTTTGATGAAATCCGGAAGTTTACTTTCAAAATTCAGTAATAAAAAGCAGAAGTAACCACGACAACTAAGACCTTGATGCATATTTAAGAAATACTAGAACTGCGCAGTATGTAAATCTGATAATGCCATGATTTTTATGTGGAAAAAGAAACACTGAGAGAAAGGCTGTGTACAGAACGGTAACCGGGAACAATGCTTTGAAATCTGCTATTACTTTTACCTGTAGTGTAATGGTAAGGCTCTTCACCACTTACCACTGTAAGCACTGAAGGCGCAAATACCCCCCGGGGCGGTGCTACTGACTGAAGTGTCTTTAGGCCATTCCCAAAGGGGGGACGTTAACATCCCGGGTTCTTATGCACAGTAAAATTGTAATTGTAAATGGGCTGATTCATCAATGTCATGCTCATAACTGTGCCTGAACTGCAACAGGGAACTGCTGCTTTTTCTTTCCTCATCCTTACTATCGTCATTTTTCCTCTACTTCTTTTGTATGTTTGTCACTCTCTTGTGACCCGCTATTTCCAGGGTGCCTTGATAGTCGAAGCAGACTTTGTGCTGTTGAGGCTAGAGAGGTGAGCAGAGTAAGCCTGATTCCCCGTTTGGACTTCTCTGTTGACATCCACCCCTTGGCGCTCATATGACCTTATGCAGTTGCGAGCGTAAAACCTCTACTAAAACTAAAAACAAACCAACAAACACACACACAAGCGCACAGGTTTAATCTATACGTGATATGCTTAGAAAAAGAGAAATTTCTTTATCGCCAGCTGTTGTGCCGTGTAGTGGGATGGAAAGAAAAGGAAAAAAACTGATAAAAGAAAGGGAGAAAAAAACATAAAACAGATTTTCGACAGATTTTCTTTCGGGCCAGTGGCCTGTAAAATGTGTGTGTGTGTGTGTGTGTGTGTTTGTTTTGTCATGTATCTCGGTGTAATCTTAGGAAGAAAAGATGTTCGTTAAAAGACGCGTAAATCTAGCAATATGTGAAACAGAATGAAATGAAACATATATGTGTCTTAAGAAGAAGTCAAATATTCCGTAAAAGACCCTTGAAACAATCAAGAAATAAAAGAAAGTTTGAAGACTTCTAAAAGGAAGAAGGGGGGTGGGGTAGGGGGGTCTTTGGAAGAAACAAAAATGTACGTTGTTGTTATTGATCCAGTGTTGTTGTTGTTGTTG